ATGTAAAAATATTTAAAAAAGAAGAAATCAACATATTAGTTGTAGCACAACTAATTTTAAATTTAGCCAAAGATAATTACTTTTAGTTAATACTAAACGTATTGATATTTGTAATTAGTAATTTATTTAGTATATTTTTAATTCTAAAGCTTTATTTATATGATTTGATGAATATTCGATATTAACGAAAATGAAGTTATTTTTATTTAAATATTGTTAGCAAAACTGTATGAAAAAACCAATAATATGTATCTTAAAATATATATTCAAATTGTACTATGCTCTAAAAATATATTTACCATTCATTCATAAGTATATTTAAGGTTTAATTAAACTGTTTCCTTGCTTTATTATTTTATTCACTTCTAAAAACAAGACTTGGTTTAATATTTTAAATAAAAATTTCATAGAAGACATAATTAATAAATAAATGAATGGGAATAAAAACTTTGTATAAATACGGATTTTGGATAGAAAAACAATGATTATCTAAATATTAAGTGAAATATATACAAATAAATGGAAATAAATACATATTATATTCGTAAATATTTTCTATACAACAAATAAAATTCAAATAAATTGTGATTATGAACCAAATCTAAACCATTTCTTTGAATAAAAACAAATATTTTATTAAACCAAACTGTGTTTAATAACTATATTTTTTTAAACATAATCGTTTAAGACCGTGGTTGTCAATCTGTGGGACGCGCCCTCTCAGGGAAATACAAGGCTGCTACAAGGAAAATGTTTCCAAAATGCTATTTTCAAAAATGAACTAAAATTTTTGGCTTGATATAAAAAATAAGCAAATAATTATCAATTATTATTAATTAATATTTGTTTTTCAAGTACAATATTACATTAAATTGCATATTAATTTATATATTCTTATTAATTTGTTAAAAAAAATATTTGCAATATATATAAATAAGTTTATAGTAAATAAATAATAAATGAAAAAAATATTAAATAATTAATTAATTTATATAAAATTTGTGAAATATGGACATCAGCCCTATTAAATATCATTCTACTAACGGCTTGTAACTAAATTATATAATATCAGTCGATCAATTTATGAAATTAAATTGGTAAAAAAAAATCAGGGAAGCGCAACAATTTTTTTATAAGAACATGGGAACGCATACAAAAAAGTTGAAAAGTACTAGATTAAGGCTTGCAAGAAATAATGAGGTGATTGCAAATCAATGATGGTTTTGCAGAAGAAAATTCATATTTGAATATAATAAAAAATGGTAAAAAAGCATTAACAAAAAAGTAAAATAAATTTTAATATTCAACTTCAACGCAAAGGCAAAGTAATAGTTTTAAGTAAAAGGCAAAATTAATTAATTTAAATAATATGCAACATATATAAATTATAAATAGAAAAAAATATAAAATTAAGTGCTAAATACAAAATGTATAATTCAATAATATTTGTCATTCCATGTATAAGAAAACTAAATACAATATCGAATTGTTTTATTTCAGGCAAAGCTAATATGGATTGTAATTTAATATTATCTCAACAGTACTTATTATTAGTTTACATAATACCATTTCATTTTAAAATATTTACTGTGCACGACAGCTGACAAGAAGTATTAAGTTTCTAATGAATGTTTATGTATAAACCCATTTTCTTGCTATTTTTAGGATATATAATAATAATAATGTAAAGTATAAGTGAAAGCATTTAATTAAGATTGTATTATTTAATATCTGATACATTCCATGAAACAGTGGAATATGTGTTGAACTTGTTCATATAAACAAAATAAACAAATTTAACACAAAATATGAAACTTTGTATCTCTGACAATTTATTAAGTCTAAAAGCAGAAAAATTCAAATTTGAAAAGTCAACAATTGGCTTAATAAAAAATGTATTCCTTTATACAATATACTGTCTTTTGTTGTAGTTTTCGATAATACTTTTAGATTTTATGATAATAACAATTGATAATGATTGAAAATATTTTTAATGAGGAATTGTTTTTTGTTCATACTAATATGATTTCTCAAAATTGCCTTCTAATAATATGTGCTCACATTATTTCTATTCCATAAAACAGTGGAATGTGTTGTCGAACTTATTTGTATAAACAAATTTAACAACAAATATGAAATTCTGATAATCTATAAAATCTACAAAATGCAATCAATAACCTATGTTGTTGTGTTATTGGAGTATTTGAAAACTGAAATAATTATAAATAATTTATAATAATTATAAAAAAATAATTCTTTTCTAGAAGTTTATTGTTTGTTTAGCATTGATGTACTTGCAGATTTGTTAATAATAATTCAGTGTGGAGAATTTTACATGAAAATAAAGCATCTTAGTTATTCAAAAATAGTTCTAATTAAACATTTTCCGACAAAATCTAAACAAATTTCTATTAAATATATAAATTATATTATAAAAAAACAAGATGAAAAGGATTGAAGATAGCTGCCTAAATATAAGGTGCAAAATGAGTACACTATTTCATAAAAATAATATCTAAAATTGACAATTTGTAGAACAATCAAAATTTCGAGAGATATTAGCATAAAATATTTTTTATTATTAGCCCTTTTAAATAAAAAAATTGGAGAACTGGATAAATAAAATGATAACATTGAAGATCTGATATAGAATTAAAATTTCATCCAAATGCGTAATTTTTATTTGACAGCTTCATTTACATTATGTATTTATATTAATAATTTGTAAATATTTTTCTTTATTACTTTTATATATAAAGTAATTTTATCAATATGAAAATGCATATGTCAAAATTGTGTTTTTTGATCTCCACAATTTAATAGCACTAAATAATTTACTAAAATAATAGATTTTTTTAAAATGATGTTTAAACAAACAGCTTAATACAATTTTGAATTGAATTGTATATTTTATGTACTTTTAGATTTAATTTTAAAAGTTCAACACTAAAAAATCTGACACAAACATAAAATTCAATTATTGTAATTTTCATTTGACACCTACTTTACTAAAACCGTGCAAATATTTGTAAATTTTAAAATATCTACGAAAAAAGGATAGTGATAAAAATTAGATAATTTTCATGTTAATTTGTTAAAGATAGATTTTAACAATAAAAGTGTTTTTGACAATATGAAAATGCATCTGTCAAAAGGATGTTTTTTGATCTCCACTATTTAGTGACACCAAATAATTGACATTTTAAAAAATTATACCAGGCTCGTTGTTTAGTATTGTAGATTTTATGTTAAAAGTTAAACTATATATTGAAATGCATTTGTCAAAGAGATGGCTTTTGATATCAACTAAATCATTTTCTCAAATAATTCACCTTATAAAAATTAATATTTTTATATGAGACTGTTGTTTGTTGTATTGCTAGTACTTTTAGATTTCATATTAAAAGTGTTGTACTTTTACCAAGAAATTCAATATAAATATAAAATTCATTTAATTAGTAATTTTCATTTGAAAAATTGTAAATATAAATTTGAAAATATCCACCAAGGAAAGCGTAAACTTTTACATTATTTATTTATAATCATATCTTGTAAATATCCAATAAGATTTTAGCGTCCATTTTAAATTAGAATTGCATAATATGAAAACGCCTCTGTCAAAAGGGTTATTTTTTATGTTCATTAAAAAAATCTCAAATAATTGAACTTTCTTTTAAATTGTACTGTGCAGTTTAGTTAGTATTATAAAGTTTATGAACTTTTAGATTTCATGTTTGAAGAAAAACACTAAAAAGCTGATACAAACATAAAATTAATATTAATAATTAATATATTTATCATTTATTTGACAAATAAATAAATAATAATATTTTTGTATCTCATATTTTTTTAATTTTAAAATATCCACCAAGAAAAGGGTAAACTTTTATATATTATTTATATTTATATCTTGTAAACAAATTCAAATAAATTTATGGCGTCCATTTTAAAATAGGAGATTTTAACAATATGAAAATGCATCTGTCAAAAGGGTGATTCGATAAATTTACTCAAATTTTTAAATTATTGGATTAATTTACTCAAAAAATTGTTTTTTTTTTTATAAATTGTACTGTGCTGTTTATTTAGCATTGTAGAAAAAATCTGATACAAACATAAATTTCATTTGGCGTCCAATCTAAAATATAAGTGAAACAATATGAAAATTCACCTGTCAAAAGGGTAATTTCGATAAATTTACTCAAATTTTAAAAATTTTCGATTAATATACTCAAAAAATTGTTTTTTTTTGTAAATTGTACTTTGCTGTTTATTTAGTATTGTAGAAAAAATCTGATACAAACATAAAATTCATTTGGCGGCCATTTGAAAATTCATCTGTCAAAAGGGTGATTTTTTATGTTCATTAAAAAAATTACTTAAATAATTAACTTTATAAAAAAAAAATATACTTTTATACTAGACTAATTTTTGTTATTTATAGCTAGTACTTTTAGATTTTATTTTAAAATTACAACACTAAACATAAGAAATTTGATACAAGTATAAAATTCATTTAATATAATTGTCATTTGACAGCTACTTCATTACAATCATACTCTTCTTTTATCTATGATTACAATATTGCAAACATTTGTAAATTTTAAAATATACACGAAAAAAAAACGTAAATTTTTGTATTATTTATATAAAATTATTATAAATACCTAGTAATAAAAATTTGGCGTCCATTTTCACATTAATTTGTTTAACAACGATTTTGGCATTAAGTATTTTTGACAACATGAAAATGCATCTGTCAAAAGGGGTGTTTTTCGTTCCCCACGAATTATTTTACGTTATATATTATTAATTGTATACGCACATGGCTGTAAATTTAAATTGCTTACATATTTGTAAATTTTATACGAATAGATTTGCAATAAATTATGATCTTCCCCTATAATGTGCGTCTAAATTCTATTTTGACAGCCGGGTGGAAACCAAAACAAACATGGCGCGTCTTGCACAAAAATTCAAATTAACAAAACTCGACTCACCCTTTTTATGATAGAATTGCACTGGAACCGGCTTCTCCTCGTCGTTTCAGTCTCATGCACAATATTAAAACAACATATACACAACAAAACACAATTCGTTTATTACCACGTCTTAAAAACTGAGAAAATGCACTTGTCTAAACACGAGCGATTTCGAATTCGTCACAGTATAGTAAATAAATAAATTAAATTCCCTTGCACTGAGCCCGAGTGTGCATCTAGCGATATTAACAAGTTAAAATCCCGGGCTTCGGGATTTTGACTTTATTTTGGAGCTTGCTCGGCGATCGGACTAAAAATAATATCCTTGTTGCTTGGTGTGTATTTCGTTCGGTCTTTCTACACAGGTTGCACACACTGAGCCCGGCGGCTACTACACACTGACGCCGAAAGTGCGGCGGCTGGGCGTCGGTTTACGCTGCGCCATCTATTAATATTCACATTTATTTTATTCACAAACTTTATCGATATCTCTAAAACGTTTAAATTTATTATAAAACGTTATTTTTCGTTATTTTAAAATTGACTACTGGTGCATGGTATCGTGTTTTAAGGCAAATAGCTGAAACTTTAGCATCGTTCAAGTATTACGTAAGCAGAACAATTTATTACAATTATTTACCCCCCCCCATCTCTTACCCCCTACCCCCATGCTTACGTAAACATTTTGCAATTAATGTAAAAAAATAAAAATACTACCTATGACGTTCATATTTATTGTAAAACGATATTCTTAGTTATTTTAAAATTGACTATTGGTGCATGGTATCGTGTTTTAAGGCAAATAGCTGAAACTTTGGTATCGTTCAAGTATTACGTAAGCAGATTTATTACAGTTATTTACCCCCCACCCATCCCCCTTGTAAGCAAAAGTAAGCAAAGCTCTTACCCCCTACCCCCATGATTACGTAAACATTTTGCAATTAATGTAAAAAAATAAAAATACTACCTATGACGTTCATATTTATTGTAAAACGATATTCTTAGTTATTTTAAAATTGACTATTAGTGCATGGTATCATGTTTTAAGGCAAATAGCTGAAACTTTGGTATCGTTCAAGTATTACGTAAGCAGATTTATTACAGTTATTTACCCCCCACCCATCCCCCTTGTCAGCAAAAGTAAGCAAAGCTCTTACCCCCTACCCCCATGCTTACGTAAACATTTTGCAATTAATGTAAAAAAATTAAAATACTACCTATGACGTAATCATCATCCAGGCTCCCCTGCCCCCCATGCCAACCCAAAATAAGCAAATCAACAACCCCCCCTGCCCCCCTATAGTGCTTACGTAATACTTGAACGGCCCCAAAGCAATCGTGTTGCGGTTCTGTGTTAGAGTAGAAATAACAAAGCGCGTATGATATACGTATGTCTATCATTTTGACCGCCAATTGGCACATTTTTTACTTTTTTCCTTAAATCTCCTAAACCGCTAGATCTGCCTACCCAAAAATTTAATCAGTTGTTCATTTTGTCAATACAAGTAAATGTCCTCTCAAAAACTGAATTAACATTTAAAGCTAGACCTTTGCCTTTGCCAAAAACTAATCAGTACGTCTCCTTATCAATACGAATCAAATGTTTTTTAATTATTCAAATCGGTTGCTAGGTGTTCCCAAAATCGTCGACAAAAATTTGTATCCAAACACACGCACACTCACGCACACACACACACATACTTACATACTTTTTTTTTTTTTTTTTTTTTTTTTTTTTTTTATTTTTATTAAAATGGCCTCGTTTTATCCAAACATTTTAGCCAATATCCATTGAATACATATTATAAAATACAATACTATACATTACAAAATATTTCTTCTGTATGAATATATAAAAAACGAGAAAATTATTAATAACATATCTTCATTAACTTGATTTCTATAAGTCACTACAATTTTATATTGCACTCATTCATGAAATCCAGCAACACTCTATATATTCCTATATTACTCTCACTAATAATGTGTCTTGCATTTATTGGAAATTGTACTTTTAGCTGTTGTAGTCTTTTATATAATTTCTTCCGTTCATTTTTATATAATTTGCAATTCCAAAATATGTGGTCCAATGTGTCTAATATGATACTACAAGCACAAAATGGGTCTTCTTTGATACCGATTCTGAATAGATGACTGTTATTCCTTGTGTGTGATAGCCTTAGTCTACAGATTGTTGTTATTTCTCTCCTATTCCATTTAATATTTTGAAACCATGTCCTTCTCGATACCTTCGGGTTACACGGTTGGTAAAGTCTTCCTTTCAAACGTGAGTCTTGATCGAATACCTTTTGCCATTGAGACATTCCATTTTTTGTAACAATTCCTTTAAGGTCTACTGCAGGAATTTTATTTACAATCGAGGGTGTGCTATGTGCATCTTTGGCCAGCCCATCCGCGATCTCATTTCCGATGATATTCGCATGTCCTCTTATCCATATTAATTCGATATTATGCTTCTGTTTAATTAAATCTTCTATCTTTCTAATACTGTCGAAAATTAGTGGATTGCCAAAATATTTAGGTATATTTAAAGCATGTAAAGCAGATTTACTATCTGACAAAATTATAACTTTTTTCAATTTATGTTTCCTGATTAGGTCTAATGCTCCATTAATGGCCATCACTTCCGCCGTGAATATTGTAGCCCAATCGGGCATTTTAATTTGAAGTTGTTTGTTTTGACTTGGGATCCAAACTGCGCATCCAACCCCATTATCTGTCTTTGAACCGTCGGTATATATTTGAATAAAATTTTTCCATCTTGAATGCATTAAGTTGTTCAGTTTCAGATTTATTAATTTCTTGTCTATCTTCTTTTCATTATCAAAATCATCTGATAAATGTATGTACTTTTTAGGTAACGTGCCTTTCCAAGACATAGTGAAGTATGTTAATCTGTTATTTACCATCATTTCTTCTTCTAGTGGTTTAAGTGTATGGAACCCAGCAATTAAAGGTGGTATTGGTTTTTTGTGCCAGAATCTATTTTCAAAATGCAGAACTGCAAGTGGCTCTAAACAGTTGTGTATCCATGCATGATCATAATTAAATTTTTTAATCAAAAACCTATTAGTTATAACCTGTCTTCTTATCTCTAAAGGAGCTTCTGCAGCTTCAGCCAACAACGAATTTGTAGGTGTCGACTTCAGTGCTCCCAAGCATATTCTTAACGCTGCATATTGTATTCTATTTAGTCTATCCATTATCCCTTTAGAACTTCCTCCATAAATTTGACATCCGTAATCGAAATGGGGTCTAATAACGGCTTTGTAAAACGAGAGACAGATATTGGGATGTGCACCCCAAGTGGTGCCAGTTACTCGTTTTAGGATATTAATTCCTTTTTCACATTTAGCCAACATTTCATTAACGTGTTTGTTAAAGGATAATTTTGTATCCAATATCATTCCTAAAATTTTGATGTTCTCCAATATTTTAATTTGAATCGAGTCTATATTTATACTGATGTAATTTCTTGGGAGCCTATGCCTAGTGAATAGAATGCATTTAGATTTTTGAGGTTCAAGTGTGAGTTTATTGTCCCGCATCCATTCTAAATCTTTTCTTAAAGAGCTGTTCATTTCATCACTACATTCCTGTAATGATCGCGAAGAAATATACATGACTAAATCATCTGCATATTGTAATTTTTTCACTTTTGTCCCTTCTGTCTCTATGAAATCCGACGTATAGATGTTAAATAATATTGGACTTAAAATCGAGCCTTGAGGGATACCATTAAAAGTTATTCTTGGACCTATGAGTCGATTCTGGTTTCTAACATAAATCTTTCTATCGGATAGAAGTGACATAATAGTGTTAGTAATTTTGTTTGGAATATTTATTTTTGTTAATTTATTTTTGAGTATTTGGTGATCTACATGATCATAGGCTTTTTCAACATCTGTCGTAACTAATAGAACATATTTGTTTTCTGTCAACGCGCCATATAGATCCACAAGGAGTTCGCTGAGTAAATCAATCGTGCCTTTTCCTCTCCTGAAACCGAATTGATATTTATTTAATATTGTATTCTTTTCTATATACCATTCTAATCTCTTTTTTAGAATACTTTCAAATATTTTTGAAAGGCAAGGTAGTAACATTATTGGTCTATAAGACTTATAATCACCAGGATCTTTTTGTGGCTTTAGTATGGGAACTAATACCGCTCTTTTCCACTCTTCTGGAATCCAGTTTGAAAGCAATATATAATTGAATATCTCAATTATTAGGTTTTTTAATGCTTTAGGGCTTCTGTTAATCATGATATATGTTATGTTGTCGAATCCCGGAGAGCTGTCTTTTTTCTCCTTTAGCGCCAGTTCAAGTTCCTCATATTTGATGCGTCCATTAATTTCTTCGTGTTCATTGTCATCAATCCAGTCTTCCGGCCGTTCTTGATTAAATAGGGCAGGTCCAGGAACAAAATCGGGAGTATGGGTCTTAAGAATTGCCTCGTAAAAGTCATCGTTCATTTGATGATGTTGGTTCTGTCTATTATTTTTATTATTCAATTTTTTGATAGTGTTCCAAATTTTGTTAATATTTGTATTCATATTGAACGAATTTATTAACTCACGCCATTTTTCTCTTTTCTTTGTTTTAAACAGTCGTTTAGTTTGTGCTATTACTTTTTGTAGACTCAGGTAATTTTCGTAGTTAAATTCATTTCTTAGTTTCTTAAAGGCTTCGTTTCTTCTTCTTGTTTGGATCTCACAGTCATTGTCCCACCATATGGCCGGTTTAAAGGTATCCGATACTTTATATTGTTTAATGTGTTTTGCTGCCGCCTTATTTATGGTATCTTGGATAAACTTATACTTTTCTTCGCAGTTCGAAGGAATTGTTGAGGTCTCCAGAATATCTTCAATCTCTGATCCATATTTTTCCCAATTTGCTTGTTTAGTGTTCCATTTTCTACCGGGATACCAACGCATCCTTGTATTAAATTTGAAATGCAACTTTATTATAATTGGTAAATGGTCAGAACCAACATTTTCAGGAATTACACTCCAATGAATCCTGTCATGAATAGATGTCGAGCAAAAGGATAGATCAATGGCGGAAGATTTTTTCTTAATAGTCTGTATAGTCGTATGAGTTCCATCATTCAAGACAACTAAGTTAAGACTATCTACAATATCGTACATTATAGCACCTCCACTGTCTATTATTTCGTTTCCCCATGCTATGTGTTTACTATTGAAATCTCCGGTGACGATTAGTCTAACTGGAATTTGTTCAATAAGATTTCGGATTAAATATAAATCCTTT